GTCCAAGTCGCTGATGAAGACATTGAAGAGTATTGGTCCTAGGACCGAGCCCTGCGAGACTCCACTGCCCACACCCTTCCAGGTCGATACCGACCCATCCACTATGACTCTCTAGGTGCGACCCTCTAGCCAATTCGCCACCCACCGGACTGTGTAGTCATCCAAGTCACAGCCTCTTAACTTGTTCACCAGTATGGTGTGGGATACCATATCGAAGGCCTTCCTGAAGTCTAAGTAAATGACGTCAACCCCTACTCCTGCGTCCAGGCATTTTATAACCTGGTCATAAAAAGAGACTAGATTAGTCAGGCATGATCTACCTGCTACGAACCCGTGCTGGTTTCCCCTCAGCATAATTCTTCCTGCCGGGCTCTCGCAAATGTGAGCCTTGATAATTTTTTCAAAGACTTGATATCCAACCTAAGCCTATTTTGCTGCAACTTCAAGTCACTGTTCCATGTCGTACTCTCTGAAGCAAGAGAGAAAAGGTGCTTTTTCCTCTGTACAGTAGCCCTTCAAGTATTTGAAACGTGCCATCTCCCCACTTAAACGCCTTTTCTGCAAGCTGAACATGCCTAGCTCCTACAGCCTCTCCTCATATGATTTGCTTTCCAAGCCCTTTTTCATCTTTGTCACTCATCTCTGAATGCTCTCTAACTTATGCATGTCCTTTTTTAAAATGTGGAACCCAGAACTGCACATAATACTGTACATGAGGCCTAATCAGTGTTGAGCAGAGCAGCACTATCACCTGCATTTGGCACCTAATGCTTCTATTGATACATTCACTGCATGCCATGCCTCGTGTAAGGTTCATGACCATGGTGCATTATGGGGAGTGGATTTCACTTGTCCCAGGCTCCTATTCTGATTACCCATCTTTACCCCTACTCCCTTGCTGGACTACTTTTCCCAGGATGCAACACTGGTCCCTAGGTGAGGAAGGCCTAGTTCTTGGCAGCAGTGCGACCACAGTCCATCATGGGAGATGGAGCCCAGGTTCTGCCCACTGCCAGTCTATTGGCTGGGCTCCCAGGGTGTGCTGCATTTCCCAGAATAAACGATAGTGCCACCCCCAGTTAAGGTAGCACGGTAGAGACATCACCATAGTGCATCATGATGCTTGCTTATCCCATTCTCCTGTTTTCTATTGTTTGTGCTGCCTTGCTAGAATACATCTCCCAGCATGCAACACTTCCCACCTGGTAAGGTAGACATGGTTTTTGGTTGTAGCATGACTACAGAGCATCGTAGGAGATGAAGTCTGGGTGCTTTGCACCCCCGTTGGCCTCTAAAGGTAGGCCTCCCACACACAACTGCATGCCCCATTATGCAATGTAGAGAAAGGCAGTGGTGCATCCTGGGAAATGGAGTCCACCCAGTAGCCAAGTGAAAACATGAATGTACAGTGTGTGGGGGGAGGGGGATGGAGGTGGTTCTCTGGTGAGAGATTCTGCACCCAACAGCTAGGCCAGGTCCAGAGGCTAAGAGCTTGGTGTCCCCCCAGCCAGATCAAGCAGGGTCATGGTCTATTGGAAATGGGCTGCTCCAAAAAGGGGGGTGCCGGGAGCTGAGAGACCCCAAGGGAGGGGGAAAGCTGCCCCCACACATGTCCACCAGTTGGCCACCCTCTTATCTGTGCCATATCAGACCAAGGGGCCCTGGTATCCCAGTCCCTGTCAGACCAGTTCTCTATCCTCATTTCACTTCTCCAGGGATCAGACTGGGGAAGAAGTGAGATCTGGTAATTAATGCTGGAGGGGGAGCCAGGGTGCCCGGGTTCTCTCTCAGCTCTGGGAGGGCGGGGGGATCTGATGGGTGGGGGGAGAGGAGATTCATAGATGTAGGGTCAGAAAGGGACCTAAGTAGATCTTCAAGTCCAACCCCCTGCCCTGGGCAGGAGAGAATACTGGGCTCAAATGACCCTAGATAGGTAATTACCCAGCCTCTTCTTAAAGACCCCCAAGGTAGGAGCCAGCACCACTTCCCTTGGAAGTTGGTTCCAGATCCTAGCCACCCTCACTGTGAAGTAGTGCCTTCTAATGTCCAGCCCGAACCTACTCTCAAAAAGCTTATGGCTGTTATTCCTTGTTACTCCGGGAGGTGCTTGGGGGAACAGGGTCTCACCCATTCCCCGCTGGTCCCCCCTGGTAAGTTTATAGATGGCCACCAGGTCCCCTCTCAGCCTTCTCTTATGGAGGCTGAACAGGTTCAGGTCCCGTAGCCTCTCCTTGTAGGGTCTGTCCTGCTGTCCCCTGATCATGCGAGTGGCCCTCCTCTGGACCCTCTCGATGCTGGCCACATCCCTTCTAAAGTGCGGTGCCCATAACTGGACACAGTACTCCCACTGTGGCCTGATCAGTGTCCCACAGAGGGGGAGGATCACTCCTTGGCCCTGCTTGTGATGCATCTGTGGATGCATGACAAGGTGTGGTTATCCTTACTGACTGTGTCCTCACATTGGCGGCCCATGGTCATTTTGGAATCGATAATGACTCCAAGATCTCTTTCTGCCACTGTGCTTTCGAGAAGGGAGTTCTCTAGCCTATAGGTAAGATGCTGGTTCTTATTGCCCAAGTGCAGTACCCTGGACTTGTCAGTATTGAATCCATCCTATTCTCATTCACCCACCCCTGTAACCTGTCCAGGTCCAGCTGTATCCTGTCGCTCCCTTCTAGCATGCCCACGTCGCCCCAAATCTTGGTGTTGTCAGTGAATTTGAACAGAGTGCTTTTGACCCCCTCATCCAAGTTGCTAATAAAGAAATTTAACAGTGCGGGACCGAGGACTGAGCCCCGGGGGACTCCACTGCCTTCTTCCCTCCAGGTCGAATATGACCCGTCCACCACCACTCTCTGGGTGTGGCCTCTCAGCCAATTTGTGACCCATCTGACTGTAGGCATCAATGCCACAGTCACCTAGCTTTTTAATGAGAACAGGGTGGGAGACAGTGTCAAAGGCCTTCCTGAAGTCCAGAAAGACTACAGCCACCATGACACCTGTGTCCAATGATTTTGTGACTTGATCGTAGAAGGCAATCAGGTTGGTCTGACAGGACCTGCCCCAAATGAACCCATGCTGGTTGCCCCTGAGCATCATCCCCGCTGCTGGTCCTTCCCAGATGTGCTCCTGGATAATCTTCTCAAAGAGCTTCCCCTGGATCAAAGTAAGACTAACGGGTCTATAGTTGCCCGGGTCCTCCCTTGTCCCTTTTTTGAAAATGGGGACCACATTGGCCTTCTTCCAGTCGTCTGGCACCTGGCCAGAGCACCATGAGTGCTCGTAAAGCCATGCCAGGGGCCCCTCAATAACCCCTGCCAATTCCCTCAGAACCCTGGGGATGGAGAGCATCTGGACGTGCTGATTTGAACACGTCCAGCCCCTCCAGAAGTTCCCTAACTCGGTCCTCCTTGACCCTCCCTGAGATGCTGGAGTCAGGATTCTTGGGTCCTGTCCCAGCTCCAGGTGAGGCGTGGGCTCTAGTAAGTGATACCAGCTAGGCCTCTTGGGTTCCACTGTGGATGGAGTTGTTCTCTTGCCCCCTCCATGCTTCAGTTTCTCCCTAGCAGAATCCCAGCTGAGTGGCCCCATTCCCCATCTCCTGTTCCTCCCACAGTTCAAGGAGCGGGACCAGCTGGAGGGCATCTTCCGCTTTTGGCTCCACCCGGATCCCCAAGCCTTCCCAATTGTGCGGCTCTGGGATCTGCGGGTGAGGCAGTACCTGGGCACCCGCTATGACACCCGCAACGGTGTGAGCGACTGGGACCTCAACATGAAGCTGCATGAGCAGGGGGTGAGAAAATTTTGGGATGTGGCATTGGCACAACTCGATGCTAGCTGCACCAGGCTGGGGCAGCCCCAGGATAAGAGCAGAGCAGAGAGGGCCCTGCAGGGGGCACCTTCCCCTTGCAGCCAGTGACGGCCCCAGTGAGCCAGCCTGGCACTTTGGGGTACCATACAGCAGGGAGTGTGTGTGGGCACCTCACTAGAGGGTGCCATGTTGTTTGTGGGGGAGACAACAGGGAGATCTGCTGCAGAGAGTGGAGTGGGTGGACTTGCTAAGGGGTGCTGTGCTGGCAGAAGCAGGGTCTTGCTCTAGGGGGGCATTGCCCAGGGGGCAGGGACAGGGGGGACCATGTCACAAGGAGAGAGGCTTATTAGTGGGCATCATGCCATGAGGAGCAGGGTGGGGGCAGAGCTTACCCCAGGACCTTCAGACTGTTAGGACCTTGGCAAGGAGCAGCCCTGGGCAGGGGGCTCTCACCTTTCCCACCATCCCCATCCAGGCCAGTGTAATCAATATCCGAGAATATGCAAGGTGGCGGGACACAGGTGTGGCTTTTGAGCTCCGTGAGGGCATCTATGACACTCCCAACAAGACTTTGGCTTCTGGGAGGCTCCTAAGACTGGTGAGCAGGTCCTAGCTTGGGGGTTGGTGCCAGTTCTTGGGGGGTAGGGGGACTGTAGGGGCAGGGGGCACAAAACTGGGTGAACATGGTCATTACCTAGCATGGATAGGGGGTATGTCAGCAGGGGAGAGGATGAGGGGCAGGTGTGGAGGGCACTGGCTGGGAAGGGGGGCAGGTTCTCAGCCCAGCCAGGTTGAATGGAGGGGGAATTCCACAGCCCAGGATTGTGGGGGCACTGAGTCTGGTGGAGGAAGTAACATGCCATCTCCTTCCCCACCCCAACCCAGAACGGGGATAGGGTGCCAGCCCGTGGGTACTGGGGTGACATTGCCACAGGACCCTACATCCTCTTCGGAATTGAGACTGAGGAGCAGAGCCTGCTGAAGACCATCAACGGGGTGCCCAGCAAGGTGAGGGCAGTTCACGGACTAGCAAAGAGTGGGGCATGGGGAGGGAACTGGGGCCCCCTATGGAGGAGCAGTCCTGATCTTCATGAGCAGACTGGGGGATGGCAGGGAGAGAACTGGGGGGCAATCAGGATCTCAGGGGACTTCAGCTGTCCTCTCTGTATTGTCACCCCACCCAGAGTGCCCAAGAGATCTCGCTGCACAATGTCACAGCCATGTTCCATGAGCTGGCAGCCCGGGCCCGATACATCCCCCCAGGACCTGACCCAGAGGGGGACAGTGTGGCCACCCCAGTCCCAGGGGATGCTTCCCAGCCCCAGGAGCAGAGCCAGCTGGTTCACGGTGAGTTCCCTGCCACATGGCACCACAACTATAAGGGATTCAGCATCTGGTCTCCTTTGGTTCAACCCAAGACCAGTTTGGGGGAGGGGGGGCTCTTTGGCTTATGCTGGGGCACAGGGTGCAGACCCACTCTCCAGCCCCACTCCCCACCAGACCCCACCCATGCTCCTCCCTGGGCTTTGGGGCCATCCCCTCAGCCTCACCCCATATCCCAGAACTGCTTCCACTTGCCCCAGACCTGGAGCCATGCTGGGGGCTGTATAGGGTGTGAAGCATGCAAAGGCTGGGAGCAAACCCACTGCCTTCACACAGGGGTCCTGCACACGCCATTGTTCTCTGCAGGTCAGCCTGAGGATCACTGTTTACTGGGACCATTGCTAAACCCCTGAGCTCACTGGAATGGCAGGGAACCCCCCTCCCCAGACCTCTGGGGGGATCCCTCATGCAGACCCCTACTGCTGGAGTTTCTGGGCTGCTTTCTGGATGGATGATCCCTCCCCCGTTCTGGCCAGTCAGTCCCTGGCCTAGCCCCCAGGGGCTAGGCCCTGCTGGAGCAGGGGCTCGCTGTCTCTGTGCTGACCAGCAGCTCCCCCTCAGGACCCATCTCCCCCGGGGATGTCCAGATCCACTTTCTGCCTCTCAACAGCACCCCCCAGCTGCACTGCAAGAACCAGTACCAGCGGCTCTTCAACCTCCTCTATTTCTCCTGCAGGTAGGGTAGGCCACCAGCCAGAATGCCTGGGTTCTTTCCCAGCTGTGGGGAGGGGAGTGGGGTCTGGTGGGTGACAGCAAGCAGGGCTGGGAACCAGGACTTCTGGGTTCTGTCCCAGCCGAGAGAGGGAGGGGAAGAGCAAGATCTGTTCCCTTGGGTATATGAGCTGGGATATTACCATCAATATGGCATAGCCTGTACCTACCCCTCACTTCACTCTGCTGGGTGCCATGATACCCCCTACTCTCCTCCTGTAGGACAGGACATACCAGGTGGGTTGGAAGGGTTAAGGATCTGGTCCCATGCTGGATTCTGCTCATGCTGCCTTGTCCCCACAGCATGATCCATGACCTGACACCAGAGCTGCAGCTAGTGTCTGCCCCCAGCGCCACCCTCATTGTGGAGCTGACCACGTATGTACCCTCTACCCACTGGGGCCCTGCTCCCCTCAAAGCTGGTGAAACCTTGACAGAGTGGGTCCAGTTTGAAATTGTGTGTCCCGTGTGTTCCCCTCTCCTCCCTGCCATTAGGAAGCATCTCTGGGGGGAGCCTATGGCACCTGGCACAGGGTATGTCTGATTAAGAATTGTTTCCCCCAGACTTGGGACAGGCCTGGACATCCTATACAACCCCAACAGGAGAGAGGTCTGGCAGGGATTGTGCCCCGACCCTGCAGATTCTTGGGGGATGATATAGCACCCAATGGGGAGGGTCCAGCAGACAATTGTGTCCCCCACCGGAGGGCCTGCCTGTACTGTGGGACCTGACTGGCCATGTCTTGGTAGGGAATTATGTGCCCCTGGTCCCATGACACCCCCAGCGGGATGGGTCCAGCTAGGAATCCTATCCCCCTTTCCCCCACTGCTCACCCCTCCTTGCTTTCCCCACAGCTTCCTGCCCGACCTCCATAAGGACCAGGCCAACGCCTTCACCTCCCGGGCCACAGCCCTGGCAGCAGGGGCTGGCTTCCAGCCCCATGGTGTGCCAAGTGGGCAGCATCCAGCGTGGATGTGCTTCCAGCTGCAGGAAGGGGCCTGAGGGCAGAGCCACACCTTGGAGACCAGCTCCCTGGGGATATAGGGTGGGGAGAGAGACCCCCCCACGCATCGTTAACCTGCTGGGGTCCTAGATTGGGCATCTGAGCTTCTCCCAGCCTCACTCTTTAACCATTTGGTGCCCACTTTGTTGGGGGCCAGGACTCTTCTCTGCCCAGCATTATTAACCCTTCCATTCCCTCCCCTGCCCTGTGTCCTTCCAGGCCAGCAGCC